CTTTGCATGCATGCCAGAAATCAGAAGATCAAGTGGTTGGTGCGTATGCGCGCACTGGAAATGGGAAGAGCAGCCACCCGGTGGGCACATGCGCACCGGGCGGCTGCTCTTCTGGTTTCTGGCACACACATGTGTGTGTGCACTCTCGTTTCCGCACTTGGTGCTGAAAAGGTGAGCCAACAGTGCCCTAACTGGAACTGTTCCTTCTCAAGTATATTCCCACAATTGTAGCCAGTCCTTCTCGAAACAAGTCAAACCAGCGTTAGCTCTTGCAGATTCCAATAGCCAGCACCAACCTTAATGTCTATGAGCTTCTGAACGTTGGTTAGACAAAATACCGACTGTGCTACCTGGCATCTGTGCGTTAAAAATGGCATCGTCCTTCATGGTTTGTTTTTCCCCCCCTTGTTTTGAAAACTAGATGTTTGTTGCTGAAGAAAATGTGGATTTTCGGATACATGTGGAAAATCAGACGCGAGCAAGAGACGATGTCAGCAGGAAGCAGCTCAGACTTTATCAGCTCTACAGCAGAACCAGTGGGAAGCATATCCAGGTGCTGGGAAGGCGGATTAGTGCCAAAGGAGAAGATGGAGACAAATATGGTAAGAGAATTTGCTTTGATCTGCTATTCTTAGGTGTGCCTAAAGCAGTGATGGTGAACCTTTTCGGCACCGAGTGCCCAAACTGGAACGCATGTGCATGCGTCAGAGCACCGAAAACCTAAAGACCACCTGGCTGGTGCGCGCATGCCTGTTTTTTGGCCGTTGGGGGCTGTTTTCTGGCTGTTTTCAGACTGTTTTTTTGTGCTGGAAACCAGAAGAGCAGCTGGCAGTGGTGTGCCTGCCCACAGAGGGCTCTGCATGCCACCTCTGGCACGGATACCATAGGTTCCCCATCACAGGCCTAAAGCATGGAGGCGATTCATCAGCTTCTCTGATTGGTCAAACTTGAATAAAATAAGCCAAGACAATGGACATACAGTGACCCAGTACCAAAATGAGAGGACCATTAGCTTGTTAAATATGAGGCAAATTGGGGCAAAAAAGGGACTTACGACCGTTTTTCACAGTTATGACTTTTGCAAGCATCCCTGTGATCATGTGATCAAAATTTGGCTACTTGGCAACTGACTCCTATTTGTGACTGTTGCTGTGTCCCAAGGTCATGTGATCAGTTTTTATGACCTCCCTATAAGCAAAGTCAATGGGGAAGCCAGATTCACTTAACAACCAAGTTACTACCTTATCAACTGCAGGGATCCACTTAACAACTGAGGCAGGAAAGGTCATAAAATGGGGCAAAACCCACTTAACTAATGTCTCACTTAGCAACAGAGATTTTGGGCTCAATTGTGGACGTAATTCGAGGACGACCTGCACATATGTGTATATGGCAGGGCTGGGCAATCTGCATCGCTATGCCTTTGTTTTATAGTTCAGTCTTCTGAGCCCCTAAGATTATCTAGTAGAGATATGGTAGCATGCTGCTGGCATAGGGTAGTACTATTTTAGTTTAAAAGACAAAAAGATACATGGGGTTCATACTATACTTGAGCCGAGGTGGCGCAGTGGTTAGGGTGCAGTACTGCAGGCCACTTTAGCTGACTGTTATCTGCAGTTCAGCGGTTCTAATCTGACCGGCTCAAGGTTGACTCAGCCTTCCATCCTTCCGAGGTGGGTAAAATGAGGACCCGGATT